ATTTTCTTTCATCTCTGACACTTCTAATATAGAGAAAGGGCAAATAGCAATATTAAAATATTTCCTCTAATTAATTCCCTTTAAATGTGCAAAAATTTCGTGCACCGGGTCACTAGTATATATATAATTAAAAAAACACCTAAGCAAAAATTATACTGTAACACCCTCAGGGAAATATTTTAAAGCACACCTAAGAAAATATGTGCTTCTTAACAATCCAAAAACATAAATAATAAATATATAACACTAGGGGCCCGGTGCATGAAGATTCGTGCACTGGGGGGGCGGGGGGGGGGGGGGTGAGGTGCATGGGGGGTGGGGGTGGAGGTCCCTCAGCCCGACCTGCAGCCTCTCCAATCTGGGAGCCCTCAGGGGAGCCCTCTCCAATCCGGGAGTTTCTGTCTGTCTTTGCAATCATATGAGCAAATTGTCTGAGACCCCAACTCAGTTTGGTTTGTTGCTCACAGAATAATAGAGGCATTTTTTTTTTTCTTTGCTTCATTGGTGGAAATTTCCTGGAAGTTTTAAGATATCTTCCCTTTAATTTTTCCTAAACACTCTGATTTTACTTATGTCTCTCACCTTTGCTTTCCCTCCATCCCCCACCACAACAGTAACTTGCTCCAGGCTCACTTTGCTCTAGTGTCTAGGAGATCCGTCTGCCACCAGAACTATGATTACCAGCATTCCTGGTGCTCCCCACGCTCTGGGCTTCTGCTTCCGGTCCTGGGGCTGCCATCAGAACTATGATTCCCAGCATTCCTGGTGCTCCCCACACTCTGGGCTTCCACTTCCGGTCATGGGGCTGCCACCAAAACTACTATTCCCAGAATTCCTGGTGCTCCCCACGCTCTGGGTTTTCCCTGACCAAGGGAGCCATGTTTCCCCAAGCCTCTGGCTCTCCTGCTCTGCTCTGTGTATGCAAATTACCCGCCATCTTTGTCGGGTTAATTTGCATGCTCACTCCTCATTGGCTGGTGGGCGTGGTGGAGGGACGGTTAATTTGCATGTTTCTCTTTTCTTACATAGGCTTGTTTTTTAGGAGAAAGATGATTAGAGATTAGGGATAAAAGGAGGAAGTGATAAACCTCCAGTAAACTGCCCCACAGAACAGCAACTCATCATAATTGCCTTTGGGAGAGGATTGATTAAAGACATCTAGAAGAGATTAAATTAAACTAACTGTAATTTCCTATACCATAGGTAATATGTCAGATTTAAGAAGGAAGAGCATTTGTAGGTAACTAGCTGATGAACCTCTTTATTCAAGGAGACTAATACAACAAATACTGGCTAAGTCCTGAGTACTGTAAATGTATTGTTTCATTTAATCCATTTAACATTCCTTATCCCCATTTTACTTTTGGAAAAACTGAGTCTCAGGGAGGTTAAGTAATTTACCTTTGTTCAGCTGGGACTGATCTTAGATATGTCTGACTCAACATAACACAAATGAGAGCCACTGTGTAGCACTGCCTTCAATCTATCAATGGGCAGCAAATGTTCCAGAATAGCAAATTGTAAACTTTAAGGAGATGCTCTCCAAAATACAAACTTCCCACATCAGTAAATGATTTAAAAAGTAGATATATTTTTTAAAATATATCTTTTTGATTTTAGAGAGGAAGGGACAGAGAGAGAGAGAGAGAAAGAGAGAGAGAGAAACATCAATGATGAGAAAGAATCATTGAGAGGCTGCCTCCTGCACACCCTACACTGGGGATTGAACCCGCAACCTGGCCAAGTGACCTGACCGGCAATTGAACCATGACCTCCTGGTTCATAGGTCAATGCTCAACCACCGAGCCATACCAGCCGGGCAAAAAAAGTAAATGTTTAAAGCTGTAATCTAACCCATTTAAATAGCTTTTGTATAACTAATAATTTGCTAGAAACAAAATTTCCATATTTTCTCTTAAAAACATCTTTGAAGAATAAACATAATGACCTTATTATTTACCCTTGAACAATATTGCCACCATAAAAATCAAGTTAAGAGTCTTAGCCAGGTGCCTTAACCAGTTTGGCTCAGTGAATGGAGCGTCGGCCTGCGGACTGAAGGGTCCCAGGTTCAATTCCAGTCAGGGTCATGTACCTTGGTTGCAGGCACATCCCCAGTAGGAGGTGTGCAGGAGGCAGCTGATCGATGTTTCTCTCTCATCGATGTTTCTAGCTCTCTATCTCTCTCCCTTCCTCTCTAAAAAATCAACAAAATATATATTTTTTTAAAAAAGTCTTAGCCAGATGACTCAGTTGATTGGAGAGTTGTCCCATACACTGAAAAGTGGCCTTTTCAATTCCCTGTCAGGGCACAGACCTAGGTTTCAGTTCAATCACCAGTCAGGGTGCCTATGGAAGGCAATGGATCAATGTTTCTCTCTCTCTCTCCCCTCCCTTCCCCCCTCTGTCCCTCCCTCCCTCACTCCCCCCGTCTCTGCAAACATACCCTCAGGTGAGGATTTTTTTAAAAAGTCAAGTTAGAGACTTAAGGAAAGACAGTCAAAATATTCAAGTCATTACATTCTACAAGAAGATACGATTCAGTTGCTTAATAGAAATACACTTCCCATTGTCTCCTTTTCCTGCCTAAGAGTTACTGCCCTTCCTTTAGGGAGCAAGAGTCCCAACATCTACCCAGTTTTCCATTTAGTCAATCTTCTACAAAACTGTAAATGTAATTTTTAAATCCTCTGAGTAGTCCAGTGTACTGTGTATTATCTATATAATAGAGGCCTGGTACACTAATTTGTGCATGGGGGAGGAGCCGAGGGAGGTTGGCTGGCTGGCCCCACCCCCAATGGGGGGGGGGGGAGGATTGGCGGGCCAGTTGGCCAGCCACAGTGCACATCATACCGACCAGTCGTTCTGGTCACTTGGCTTTTATGTATCCGATATAATATCCTATATAATAACACCCTACTATGCAAATCGACCAAACGGCAGAACGACTGGTCGCTATGATGCGCAGTGACCATCAGGGGGTAGACACTCAATGTAGGAGCTGCCCCATCTTGGTCAGTGTACTCCAACAGGGGGAGCACTGCTCAGCCAGAAGCCAGGCTCACGGCTGGCGAGCATAGCAGTAGGAGCCTCTACCCCTCCACGGCAGCGCTCAGCGGGCCTAAGCTGGCAATCAGACATCCCCCAAGGGGTCCCGGACTGTGAGAGGGAGCAGGCCGGTCTGAGGGGACACCCCCCACCCACCCCCGCCACTGGTGCACAAATGTTGTGCACCAGGCTTGTAATTTAGATATACAACCCTAAGTGACTGGTATACCGCTTGACCATTTGACCAGTCGCTATGACGCACACTGACCACCAGGGGGCAGACGCTCAATGCAGGAGCTGCCCCCTGGTGGTCAGTGCACTCCCACAGCGGGAGTGTTGCTCAGCTGACAGGCAGTCACCAGGTGCTGGGCTCACGGCTGGCGAGCACTTCTCTGGCAGCACAAGCCTCTCCTGCCTCTGCGGTAGCACTACCAAGCTGTGGCGCAGGGAAGCGCCACGGGGCCAGGATGAGCGGGACCAGTGCAGCGCCTGGCCCGGGCGCCTGCCGCTTCATGAACTATTACATCCCCTGAGGGGTCCCAGATTGCAAGAGGGTGCAGGCCAGGCTGAGGGACCCCACTGGTGCACGAATCTGTGCACCAGGCCTCTAGTATAAAATAAACTTATATTCCACTTCTAAAAACACTTATTTCATTTCAACATGTTTTACAAACGACAGAAATAGGGTACTTTCAGCCATAATTGTCATCTTATTCAGTTGTTAAAGGATATAATTTGGAGGAAGAAAGTTCCAGCTCAAGACCTGATTGGCGAGTGAGAGGTAGCGCTGAAACACTGAGGACATCTGAGCACTGAGGTTTTCCCGCCTGCTGAACTCCTGCAAAACTTCCACGGTTAACACGAAGATCTGACGAAGGTCTTCTTCCTGCAATAAATAGGTCACAAGTATTTTTGTGTCATAAGCTCAGTCAAAATGCATTCCCTTTTAGAACTATAATAGAAAACAAACAAAAACCTTAACATTTCCAATGGAAAACACATTTCTTTAGGAACATTTTCCATTTTTAGGCCTGCTCATATTTTCACCACAGTGAGCTTTCAGGTGACACCAGTTTGAATACATTTACTGTGACAGAAAGGCTACTTTGTGGAGCAGTGAGTCTGACAACTAGACAGAGCTGGAGCATTAGTTGCTCTAGTGCAGGATCCTCGGATTTAAGCCAGTGCCTTCACATAACTTTACTTCAGAGCCAAACAATACACACAAGACAAAAAGCCCACACCATCTGCAATAACATTTTAAATACACAGCCCTCATGGGCATTCTGCCAGGTCTATTTTTAAGGCCATCAGGGTTCTACCAATTGAAGCACTGACATCTAAACACAATAAGATCAAAATAAATAAAGAATCTTTAGAGTAGTATTTCCTTTTTGTTTTATTTAAAGACTAGCATTAAACAAGTAACCTTAAATTGTCATCTATACTCACCAAACCTATCACTTTATTATATCCTAAGAAATCACAACACAAACCTTCAGGTGTAGGCTGTCATCCAACCAGATCAAATAAATGTTCTCACTGCATTGAGAAGAGACTATATAAAAAGCACACGATCTTATCATTAAAACATAAGAACAAAAATGCAAATACCTGGAAAACTCTTTTGCAGTTGCCATGGAATTCCATGCTCAGTCCGATGTTGCTGGTTTTACTTGAACTTGAGAATTCACTCAATAGTGCAGTCAGAATAGAACAGGCCAGAGTTTGCTGTCATCATTGGGTAAGAAATAATTGAGGCATTATTTTTCCCATACTTTGTTTCAATACCACATTTGTTCAAACATAATGAAACATTTTCTTTCTATCTTTAGATCTTCCATTATATCTTTAGATTTATACCTACCAAAGAGAAAATCAGATAGTACAAAATAATGATTGGCTCTCCTTCCTAAGTGGCCTAGTAATTGTTAGTTCTTCCTCAACCCCAGTTACCCAAATACATCCAACACTTGAACTCGGGACATACTCCTAATTTGATCACAGAGTATAAGTGGTATTTTAAGATACTGAATTTATTATTACCCACTTTACATTAGAAAGAAATGTGATTCACAGACATAAGAAATGAAGATGGGGAGCGGGAAAAAGGATATATGTAATACTTTCAACGATGCTGGTTTATAAAAATAAATAAATAAATAAATAAATATTAGAAAGAAATGTGATTCACAGACATAAGAAATGAAGATGGGGAGCGGGAAAAAGGAGGAAGGAGGAAGTTCAACGATACTGGTTTATAAAAATAAATAAATAAATAAACACAAAGAAGAGGAGGAGGAGAAGAAGAAGAAGAAGAGGAGGAGGAGGAGGAGGAGGAGGAGGAGGAGGAGGAAGAGGAAGGAAGAAGGAAGAAGGAAGAAGGAAGAAGGAAGAAGGAAGAAGGAAGAAGAAGAAATGAAGTCCAGCTGAAATTAAGCCCAGGTCTGTCTATGCTCAGATGATAGTAAAATGTATTTCCAAATAGATGAAAAGTGGAAAGTTTATAGTCTTCCAAATATTAACCAGGTAGTATTCAAAAATTTTTTTCATTGAAAACGAAGGTTTTCCTCCTCAATGGCTCTATCCAACAGGCTCCTAATATCAACTCATCATTTTTATTCACAGACTATTTAGAGTCAAAGGTGCCAAGAATGGAGAGGATACAAATTATTTTGGCACATTTCCAGGGGTTACACAGAAATATGCTCACTACCTCTGAATAACCAAAGATTAAAGTCAAGATGATACTATTTATACAAGCCAACAGAACAGCTGAACAGTCATCCCACCCACTAACTGCCACATCTTTGTTCAGAAATGCTTGTGATGTGGGTACCTTGACCTTACAGATGCTTATCTTGGCAAATCTTAGCAAATATACATAAAATCAAATTCCCAAATATTGCCATGAGTTGATATTTATTGGAATGATGGTTACATGGGTGACCAATACGCTCTTGTTTATTTTTGCATATGTCTGAAATTTTCCTCTAAAAAAATGTAAAAAGAATTAAGTTACTATTGGCCTCTTAATCTCAACTAAAATAAGCATGATGTATAACTGATATTTACAGATGGCATACTAGCCCATACATTACAGCAGTTTCTCACACTTTTCCATACCAGGAAACCCTAACAACAGAAAACACATGCAAACTTGTCAAGAATCAGGGGGACAGACCAAACTGCTTTCAAGAAGGATAAAGTACTCTGAATCCGCTTAAACACACACCACACACTTTGTAATTTTACCTCAAAATATGCATTTGTTTTAATATAAAAATGTCCCTCTTCCCTAAGTCATTTAGAGAAGTGTACAAGTTTAACTGCCTTCTCTTACAGAGAACAGTTCATTGCACACTCATTTCATTTTACAATTTAAAGCAAGCATGTCAAACTCATGGCCCGCATGCAGCCCACAACAAATATTTTTGCGGCAGAGCCAATGTAACGGTATGTAAGAAACATTTTAATAAAAATGTCTTAATTTTTACAACATTCTGTTATACATAATTATTAATAACGAACTACAACGTTCGCTAATGATTGATTACTATAATCACGTTGCATTCATTTCCCTTACGAGCCTTATGCGCAGGTGCACCATTTCTCTCCACTAATACCAGCAGCGAATCTTTTAGCAGCCGATTGCCACGTCATTAGTCTTGGACTGACTTGTTTGGTGTGCACAACAGGAAATATTTTGCTTTCAGAGAACAAGAAAAATAGGTTTATTTGCGTTATGCTTATTAATTTGTGCAGTTATTCAGTGTCTGGTAAGTTAATGATCAAGAAAAATATTATTTTTTATTAAAATGTTCTATTATTTTATGTTAACAATTACTTTTATTTCAGCCCTTTGTAGTGAGCATGTCTCTATCAAAATAAATCTATGTTTCTATGAAAATTAAAGCTTTTGCTTTTTTGCGGCCCACATAAACTTAAACTGTGTTTATTTGGCCCGTGTTAGCCTTTGAGTTTGACAAGCTTGCTCTAAAACAGCAACCTTTTACTCTAAGGAAGTACTAATTCACCCATAAAAGCAAGTACATTCTTAACCCATGATAACTAAAACAAAATACATTCTTATTACAGACTATTTAGCTTTCTGAACATTTTAAAATAAATTAACTTACCAGACACTGAATAACTACACAAATTAATAAGTGTAATGCAAATAAACCTTTTTCTTCCTACAAAAATAATGTATCATCTTCTTTTAAAAACCAGAAAGTACAGAAAAGCACAGAAGGGAATAAAATTTCCCACAATCCTACCATCCAAGGGCCACTACTGTTAACATTTGTCCACAGCTTCCCGATGTGTTAATGCACAGGTATCATTAAATACACACCAATACCATCAACTGAGATGTCATGTTTTGTATTTTCCTTTTCCTCTTCATATTTATGAAATATAAACACAAATTTTTAAAAGCAACTGTGTTCTTATCAAATTTACCACTCAAAGACTTAATACATGAAAATAAATTATGCATCGTGGCTAAGAGTTATTACCAGAAATCAAATATTCTGATTTTAATGTACGCAAAATCACCAGCTTTCAAATAACTAAGTAAGATATTTTCATCATTAAAAGAAACCAAACAGTTTAATCGCTCCTTAATTTGGAAGCCCTGTAAAGACTTGAGAGCAGTATCATAAACATTAATTATACTATACTGCTAATGCTCAAAGGTGCCAAAAGAACAGAAATCCCTGGAGAATAAGGAATGATTAAGTATTGATTGTACATTAAGAGAGTAAAGCACCTCTGCACATATCAACAGAGTATTTCTGGCTATTCACAGAGGAATTAACATCACAGTGCATTTAAGACTCATTTCCCAAAGTGTTCACACATTTTCAGTATTTAATTATCAATTCAATAAAACCTCAAAATTACTCTCATGGTAGGTGCATTACAATAGCTGGGAAGCAAGCTGAAAGTGTAATCCTAAGAGAGAAAAGGGGACAGCTCCTTCTCAGGACAGAGAGAGGGAGGAAAGGGGTAAGCATCCAGTTCACCTATGAGAGGTCACAAGTGTTTTGTTTTTCTTACCCTGTAGAAGAAGGTTCCTGTGTGCTTGCTTCAGACTTAGATCTTAATGGTTAGCCCAAGTGCATTACCTCTGAACCCCCCACCGATTAGTACTGTACCAGTAAACCCTAGATTTTGAGGGCCTCAATTTAACAGACTTCGGATTTAAGAGACAAAATTTCCGGTTCATATGTCTCACATTAAAATTAACGCTTTGTTAATTTTAAAATGCTTTCAACCAAGATTTGCCTATATTTAAATTAACAGGGGTTTTTTTGTTAGTAATTCACTGTTATTTTTTGTTAATCCTCACGCGAGGATATTTTTTCCATTGATTTTTAGAAAGAGTGCAAGGGAGAAAGGGAGGGGAGAAAGAGACGGAGGGAGAGAATAAGACAGAGAGAGGGAGAGAGAAACATCAATGTAAGAGAGAGAAACATAGATTATGGATTGGTTGCCTCCCTCACATGCCCTGACCAGAGCCGGGGATTGAAGCTGCAACCCAGGTACGTGCCCTTGACTGGGAATCAAACCCACAACCCTTCAATGTGCAGGTCAATGCTCTAACCAATGAGTCACACCAGCCAGGGGCATACATACTTAATTTTATTACACAAACATGTCTACATAAGTAAAGGCAGGTAAACTAATTTGTCACTTTTTAACATACAAATTCAGAAAACCTACTTTGTTATATAACAGACTTTCAGCTTTAATGGACAAATCCCTCACACAAATTAGTCCATTATATGGAGGTTTTATTGTATCTTCAAGTACTGCCTCTCTACCCCTTGTCACAGTCAGGGCTCGATATTATTTCTGTACTGGAGACAGTGACTCTGATACTCAAGAGGGTCAAAAACAAAAGCTGTTCTAAATAATTTAGAATGGTGAATTTCAAAGAAATCTGATCAAAGTTGACTGACTGATAAGCAAGAGACTATGAGATTGTCTACTACAGTTTACAGGGATTAAACTATATAAATACCATTAGTACAAGTCTGAGACTTATAAAAGGTTAACATAGCAAGGCTTCATTTATCCAAGATAAAAAAGAATTAAGCGAATATCTGTTTATTTTCCAAATGCAGCAAACATTTTTAACGGAACTTACTTCTTGTAAATGTTTCCAAAAGACTTATTTCTAAAACACTATTTGATGTTGTAATCGCAAACAACTGAAATCTACTAAAACGCACAGGCCTTACATGCCATGACCAAGTGGTGCCAGAGCCCAGGCTTTTGGATTACACCACTCCCGTTTTTCTCAGTCATCCTGGTCTGGTGTCACACATGCTGTTGGCAATGTGACCAACACTAACAAGCCATCCTAAATTGATAATTCTTATTTCCGACAAGTTAGAAACCAAGCAATACAATTTATTAAAACTATATCCAAATAAATTCTAAATAAAAATATTGCAGGACTCTTTCTGGAGTCCAGTACTAGAATCCCCGTTTAGACAAAGAAGTCAGGAAATCTGGGTTACAACAGCTCAGGATTTGCCACTTTAGGTACCTGAGGGCAACTCACTTCTGCCTTGGCTTCACTTTTTTTATCTACAAAAAGGGTCACACCCTCTACCCTGCCTAATTCATGTGATTGTCCTAAGGTTCAAATTAAGTCATGCAGGTAAAAGTACCACGTAAAATGCAGCAGGTTACCTATAAGATAAAGAAGCAACAGGATTTTTATCATCATGATATAAAATAATCACCTATTTTGGCTTTTCTAATCCTACTTCTTGATTATCTACATTACACCAAATTAAAATCACAAGATACGTTATCAATTAATAAGGGAAAGCCATAACTAGAGCATCACTAAAGTAACAGAGTAGATGCTCAGTTATCTGGATTAATGAGTCAACTTTATCTCTACATCTAACACTATATTAATACAAAGGAGAAGTGAAAAATGAATACACAATGTATTCCCTATATTTTCAGTTGTTGATAAATTCCAAAAAGAAAATTTAAATAAGTAGAACAAGCAGAAGATACTCAATGAGACTTCAAGGTTATAAAATTGTCTAATCTATTCTTTCATTGAAGTACTAAAAATCCACAAGTTAATTCACTAACAACTAAGTAACTGTTGTCGTCACATTTAAGTCTTATAGCAGCATTCTCATTTCTATTAAAAGCCATTAATTTCATTACAGTGAAAAAATACCCTAAGAGATAGCTTGCCTTACTCACCAGCTTACTGTCACAAGCACAAGATACTCAAACACTAACTCCAGCTGACAAAATACAATACTCTTGTTCAGAGAGAGGATTGTCTCTTATAATAGCTTGGCTCTTCCCCCAGGAGCTTTATTACCAAGAATAAACTTTATGAAAGGTTGCCGTACACTCAGACTTCCAGCTGCTCCCCTAACCAATGAGCCTGTGATGAGAGAGATTAGCTGGTATCACACCCAGGACAGTGCTGCTGGGGAGAAGTCAGTTTCTCACCCACTCCTCTCACATGGCAGAGGAAGAAAGGAGACTAAATGCTAAATTACACAGCTTTAAATGTGATTTAATGTATGCCTACTATCAAAGGAAATAAAACAAACATGAAATAGATTAAAATTTTGCTTAAACATTAATTTCAAATAAAAAAATTTAATTTAGCTCCTTTCCTTAGGAAATTAAAGTTTCTAATGAGTACACAGTAGATCTGACCCTTGCAAACTGCAGTGAAGTAACCTCAGCAACCTTTATAGCCACAGAAGGAAAATGACCCATCACAAAGATGGGCATGAAACAACCTATTATCTAATAACTGTACAAGCACACTTGCTCTAAGAACACGTCATAAATGGAAAACTGTACTGTGTCTGAAAAATTTAATATCCTTAGGAAACATTTTATGAATTAGTCTTCCACAAAATTATCTGTAGAGAATCAAGACTATAAAATATTTCTTAAAGCATTAAAATTAGAGCTAATAAGTTGGTTTTCAATTTTAATACACAATTAGTTTTCACTCACGAATAATAGCATAAATACTTCCTTCTGACTTTCAATAATTAAAATATTATTTGATGGAACAAGAGATCATTTAGTAGTATTCATGTCCTAATAAGATTATATGAACATAGGGGTGATACCAATGGGGAGATCAACACTTGATGAATGCTTAATATACTCATTGGGCGCTGTCTCCTCTGCTGGGCAGCCCCTAATTGTTAATCCACAATAAAAATCACCGAATCTACTATACTGCCCCAAATTTATTTAAACAGACTAGTATAAGGGATGGACCACAAAAAATATATTATTAGAAAGGGAAGAGTGAAAGCCAAACTACATAGTTTCTGGCCAACGAAGGAATATAGTTTGGCCTCACTTAACTCGTGAGGTCAACCCTCTTTCATCCACAGAAAACCATCAATAATCTCTTTTTTTCAAATATCTCTTAAAATCTCCTTTATAAAGAAAGTTTCTAGCCAACACTATATCCATGTTCACTAGTAGCTGCCAAAGGTTTATTAAAAATGGAGGAAGTGTTCAATAGAAGGAAAATGGCTAAGCATAGTGTGGTATATTAGCTTATGATATTTTACAGCATTAAAATGATGATTATGAATACTATAGCAATATGGAAACATAGGATCAAATGAAAAAGCGAACTACACTATATCTACAGTATGTACACATGTATGAAAAGGACTAGAGAAAATAGGAACAATTAAAAACTGCTTTTTCTTTCATGTAGATAGCCGTTGCTGTAATGGAATCTGTATAATATAAAAGATAAATATTTACAAATGTGAATAGTTAGCATACTTACCACAGTGGGATTGCCACTACTGATCAACTGGCTGACTTCATGAAAAATGCTCTTGCAGTCAATTGACTTATCTAGTGAGCCTCGTTTTACAATTACTGCTACTGCTAAGAGAATCTGTTCCCGAACATACTTTTGGAGGCTGTAAAACATAAAGATCAAAGTGAAAACTTTTACATAATTCTAATATAAAAATACTCCCAAATTTCTCACTATGCCTTAACTCCTAATAACCCTGCTTACGTCTCAGTGGTTGTGTATAGACTCCAAAGCCAGAAGACCTGGGTGCAAATCCACACTCCATTATCTACCGGCTATGTGACCCTAGGTAAGATAGTTAACACTCAGAGTCTCAGTTTTCTCTTCTGTGGAATGGGGACAACAGTAATAGGGTTATTACAAGAATTAAATGTTCTCAAAACTGTGCCCAGTACACACTAAGCACTATGTAAGCATTAGTTTCTTCAATCAATGTTTGATACATGTAAGTCAACCCACTAAGAGCCAGATTAAGATTCCACCAATTAAGAGAAAAATTCTGACCCAATATCCATCTCCAAGCAGTAATATAATCTTAAATCTATTCCCATGGAAAGGCAACATGCTAGCTATCTAATACACAATGTTATAGAAACAAGCAAATTTTTAAAAATCTTTTTTAAAATCTCATCTCTGAGATCTGTTCCTCAGTGTGGTGGAAGAAGTACTGGTCCCAACTGGAGGCATTATAAAAAGCTCATTAACCCTCGCAGGTTTGGCTCAGTGGATAATGCGTTGGCCTGTGGACTGAAGGGTCTTGGGTTCGATTCCGGCCAAGGGCACATGCCTAGTTTGTGGGCTCGATCCCTAGTGAGGGGCGTGCAGGAGGCAGCCAATCAGTGATTCTCTCTCACATCATTGATGTTTCTATCTCTCTCTCCCCCTCTTCCTTCCTCTCTGAATCAATAAAAAAATTTTTTTTAAAAAAAAAAAAGCTCATTAGACAAGAAGCTAGAGATTTAACAGTCTTTTCACAATTGTTTCTTAAAGAAAACATAACCCTGAACTTTACAATCCAGCCTTTAGAAAGCACAAGGACACAACTACCGGCTAGGGCAGCCGTGGGCAAACTACGGCCCACGGGCCGGATCCAGCCCGTTTGAAATGAATAAAACTAAAAAAAAAAAAAGACCGTACCCTTTTATGTAATGATGTTTACTTTGAATTTATATTAGTTCACACAAACACTCCATCCATGCTTTCGTTCTGGCCCTCCGGTCCAGTTTAAGAACCCATTGTGGCCCTCAAGTCAAAAAGTTTGCCCGCCCCTGAGCTAGGGCCATGTGTATGAGTTTTTAAAATACGAGGCCCACACAGAGCTTCCCCATGATGTCTATCATTAAAAGAAATAAAGAACAAAAGGAAAAGCTCCAAAAGGATAAGCTTAGCATGAGTGTTTCAGCAGAACCTCCTCTGTGTACTTACTTGGGCCTCTGTAAGACGTAAGTTAAAAGGAATGTTCGCAGTGACTCAATGCTGCCCTTTTCCAAGAGAATCCACTCTCGGACCACTGCCTCCATGATGGCCGTGGCAGCTTGAAAGAGGACATAGTCCACCTTGCTTGTTTCTGAGGAAAGAATTAGATTCTTTCTGTAAACAGCAGCTCATCTTCCCTTGAACACGTTGCATTTATTAATTGAACTTTTCAGACAAGGAATAAGATGGTTACCTGTTGTTTTTTTTAATCCAGTGACCTTGCTCTAGCACCACAAAGAGGTTAGTTCCTCTCAGAAGACACCTCTGGCAGGTGGCAGCTAATCCCCGATCACAATTTTCACAAACTTTCCTCACCTCTCTTCAACTGTTACTTCCAAAGCATGAGGAACTAAAAAATAACACAGCTTTAAAAAAAATAAAATAAAAATATAAAGCAGTCAGAAAACTTCCTAAGAGATTCTCACCCTGTGCAAAACAGAACTTGGTACCTGCAAAATACCTTAATAAACTAGTCTTTGAACATTACTATTTGTGATGAGCCACACTGTTAAAATATTTCAATGTAGCCCTGCTTGGTTGCTCAGTGGTTAGAGCATCAGCCTGCAGACTGAAGGGTCTTGGATTCGATTCCCATGTCAAGGGAATGTACTTGAGTTGCAGGTTCAATCCCCGGGCCCAGTTGGTATAGGAGCCAACCAATCAATGTGTGTCTCTCTCATATCAATGTTTCTCTTTCTCCCTTTCTCTTTCTCTCTCTCTCTCTCTCTCTCTCCCCTCCCCCTTTCACTCTCTCTAAAAATCAATGGGAAAAAATATTCTCAGGCGAAGATTAACAAAATAATATATATACATATATATTTCAATGTAAGTAATTAAGCTTTCAGCAGGATGACCCATCTCCAATAGTAAGTTCAGAAATAAATACAATCATTAAGATATTTTTCTCAAATTAAAAAAAAGTAAAAAAAAAAAAGGAATCAATTTACACAAGGTGAGAAGTTCTTGTGAATTTTCTGATTGCAATACTGATCAAACTGAGTAAAATCCCAAAGCTACACTTAGAAAGATCCAGCCTTAACTAGCAAGTGATAGTATCTGAACTAAAAATTGAATCCAGAGGGGGGAAACAATAGAAAACTAACATACCTAAAAATATTTTATGTTTATGTTAATTTTCTATTTTTCTTTTATTCACAATACAACTGCAGTCTTTTCAAACAGCATAATCAAAAGGGAGAAACAGTCAAAATAAAGTCAAGAAAAAGTGGGAATTTTCTGAAGCTCCAAAAAGTAACCATCATGTGAAATCCATGAAATGTCTATGATTAGAGTGCAGGTTATTTGCCAAGATCATTGGACATGAGTAGAGAAATGCACTCTAGGCAAACAATGGCACCTTCAAGAAATTAGCAGAAGAGCATGAAGATACACCATTTTCTCTCCTATTCAAGTTTAGGTCATTTAGAAATCTTACCAAGTGATCTTGACACAATTAGCCATAAAAATGTGAGAGAAAAGGCATGCCCTACATAAATCCCTATTACATTACACTACTACCTAGCAATTTTGAAAATACCAAAACTAATAAGAGGAACCAATTTGGACCTTCTTTTCAACATTTTATTATTCCATGCTATCTTTACATGAATTCTAATTGAGATGATCATCAAAACTCACAAAAATTTAGAAACCTTAAAAAATAATCAATAAATAAAGCAATCGCTTCCAAAAATGTAAACTTATAATGAAAAGATGCATTTAAAGTTCCAGGAGAGCCGAAACCGGTTTGGCTCAGTGGATAGAGTGTCGGCCTGTGGACTGAAAGGTCCCAGGTTCGATTCCGGTCAAGGGCATGTACCTGGGTTGCGGGCACATCCTCAGTAGGAGATGTGCAGGAGGCAGCTGATCGATGTTTCTCTCTCATCAATGTTTCTCTCTATCTCTCTCCCTTCCTCTCTGTAAAAAATCAATAAAATATATATAAAAAAAATAAAAATAAAAAAATAAAGTTCCAGGAGAAAATTAAGTGTTTTATTAAAAGAGGATTTGATACAAAACCCAGCTTTATCTATGAAGTACTGCTTCATAATGGTCACTCAAATAACCTCTTATTATAAATCTCTTTTAAAAACAAAATGATGGTGTCTGCCTATCTTCATATTCCATTACAACAGTAAAAATTTTAAGAAAAACCTGAAATCCTTAACCGTGGATTTTAACAAGAAAGCAAATCGTAGGGACTCACAGAACTTTAGAAATAGAACTCCAAAGATCATCTAGTTCAATTCCTGCCATTTTACAGTTAAAGGAAGTGAAGCACCAAGAGATGAAGAAGGAAATCCAAGATCACAAGGCTGCTGTGTTCCTTAAGCAATGCTGATCCAGCCCTAACTGCACATGCCAAGGAAGGTAAGACCAAACAAGCACCTTCTGGTCTTCAAGGGCAATGGAACATGCTTACTTCTATTTGTGCTAGGGGCACAATTATAAAAGGTGAATGACATTCAAAGTTTCCAAGGTGACTTTTTATAAGTTGATTTTTAGAAAGAGGGAGAGAGAGGGGGGGAGGGGGAGGGAGAGAGAAAGGGGGAGGGAAGAAGAGAGAAACATCCACCTGATCTGTTGCATCCATTTGTTGCTCCACCGATCCAAGCATTCATTGATTGATTCCTGTATGTACCCTGACCGAGAATTGAACCCCCAACCTTGGCATAATGGTACGAGGCTCTAACCAACTGAGGAACCTGGCCAGGGCTCAAGATAACTCTTTTCCTCTGCTTGGTATTAAATGAAGATTTCTGCATTACTACCCCCATAAAAAGCTCTCTACAAAAGGAGGAATCTGGAAAAAAGAAAGCCGAATTTCAAAGAAGGAATTTTTCTAACCTAATAAATTACACTTTCTCATGAAAACTGTTATTAGCCTTCCTACACTACACTTACCCCTAACATAAATGTGCGAATGCTGCTTGCAGGTACTCTAGTAACTTGCCAGCAGGACCCACACAGTACCTAAGGCCTATTTTTCTCTGCTGGAGACACTGGAAATGGCCAGGTCTTCACAAGGAACTCACATTCATTTAGAATTTCTAATTAGGGTAACTTTCCATGACTAGGGCACAGTCTAGATGACCAATTATTTTCAGGCCACTTTAGCTGGACACTTTCATTTCCTACCACAGTAACTTTAATAATAATTACATAACTAAAATTCATTTGTATCTTGTCAACCATCTGAAACTAGACAGAGCCATGAAAACAAAAGTTAAAATGAAGTAAATGTCAGAGAGGAAATGTACACACTACATTTTGATCAATCAGAAAGTTTTGTGTTGTTTTTTTTTTTAAGAAAACCCTAGTAGTCAAGCCCAGATGTCAGTGAGGACAATCACCTCTCTGACTTTAAAGTACAAATTCTGCTTAATGATAGACACATATGCACATCATTTTGTTTTATTTTGGCTATTTCTGAGGTAACAAATAAAATAATTCAATTTCTCCCTGAGAGGAGGACAAAAGAATGTCACAAAGCCCCAGGAGACAGTGACTCCCTCACTGTCTGGGAATATAATAGTTCTTTAACAAGAAGAGAACTCAGGATTTCTTAAGAAACATTTGACCCCCATAAACCTAAAAAATTCCTATGCCAAAGACTTCTGAGGTGAAGCAGTCTGAAGTGCTCTTCTGACAAAATGCACAAGCATGCAACATGCACATGCGTGTGTAAACACACTTTTAGAAAAGCAAAAAAAAAAAATTAAAACTAGAATGAAAACAAAAGGGTAAGACCAGGAAATGAGGAAAGATGAGAAATGTAATAAAACTTAAGTGAGAAGGGGAAAGGAAGAATTTTAAGAGGCCAGAAAAGGGAAGCATCAAGGAGAAAGTCTCCCTTTTATCAGAATATATTGCTCCGACATTCTACAAAAATGATATACAACCCTAGACAAAAATGTGAAAATTCTGAATTGTGATTGACTGCCACTTGCATGAGAAGTCTTCTTAGAGGAATTAACCTTTCTGTGCTGGTGGCAACCGAGGACGAGGACGGAGTTAAAAGATACTCTGTGAAGTTTAGATGTAACATTAATGTAACACAGGGCTTGGCAGTACATTAATGACTATAATACATGCACTCAGGCTTTTAAAATAGTTCATGTCTCAAAACCCAAAATGATTTTAGAAGCACGGCTGGAACTGGCAATATCCTTCTTTAGAAATTTTTATCAGAAAAACAAGTTTTCCAAAACAAGCTCAAATCATAACAAAGCAACAATACTTCATAAATACACATACTCGAAAAAAGAGCGGTATAAGCAAATACACTAATAAAATACTTATAACTTAGATCAACTACTTCCCGACTAGTAAAGAATGACAACTGAATTGTAACAGAAAGTTAAATGAAACACTAATAGAACTCTAGTTAATGTAGTTATGGCACCTGCCATGAAGAAAACTAATCTCAGTTTATTTTAGGTGCTAGTTAACAAAATGGTTTTCTAAATCTATTAATGCTGAGCAATTTCCAGGCAGTAAGGATGAAGTAAGTCTCCATTAAATTCTGAAAGCTGATGTTTAGTTTCGCTTCTTTTAATTTAATGCTGAGTTAAATATTCTCCACAGGCATAAAATAAATTATCTCAGTGCCAGAAACAAACTCACCACTAACACTCAAAAATTTTTTCAAAACTTCCTCATTTGGAATTTAAAAGGTGGTTATTAAAGCTTCTCCTCTAATGGTGGGATCTAACTCCTGAGTGGGAGAGAGCCAACTTCACTGCCACTGCTAGCTCCTCGCAAACAAAAAACAGCATTTTTTAAGCTTATCATATTTTTAATAAGGTAATGGGATCATGACATTTACCTGAGTGTTTACAGAGTGCTTTTCTACATTGTTACTACATTTGCACCTCACAACTTAACAAAGCCAAATCCATGAAGGAAGATGACATCACTATTCCCATTTCACGGGTGAGAATAGGCTCAGAGAGGGTAAGTGACTCCTCAAGGTGACCACATACAGCAGGCACCACTGTAGCTGGGACCTCAACAGTCCCTGCACCAGAGCTTTTCCAACCCAATCAATCTAACAACTCTAATTTATAACCCCGTATATGTAGAGTATTTTTTTAACATTATAACTTTCATTGTAGGCGATTTCAATCTGCTGGCTAACAGATAAGTCAAAGCACAAGAATAAAAGGTCAGATATTTTAGTTCCTAATTCTCAACTAGCCAATTCTGTGGTCATTGGATAACTCAGCATTTCAGAGCCTTAACTCTGGGGGACAAAAATGGTTCCAATTTAAAAAAAAAAAAAAAGAGAGAGAGCCAATAATAACAAGGTTATAAAATATCTAAGAGGCAGAAGACTATATATATAGAAAATACCATCTTTGGAAAGAGATCATTTCTGTACGTATGTCAGATATAAGGTATTCATAATACATTACAAGTGTAAAAATCAATGCTTCATTTTAGGATATACAGTGATAACCTACACAGAACTGACTAATAGTCATTTAAGCAAGCTGAGTACAAACTACATGGTTTAAAAAAAAAAAAAAACTATGAAAAAAAAACAATTGAAAGAAAATGTAGAAAGTTCCAAAAAATCTGAATTTTAAAACACTGAGATAATATACAGTACATTTCCTATAATAAATGACATCACACTTGAAAACAATTAAAAAAATATTAGACTTTTTCCCCCACTCTTAACAGCCTTCGCGCTATGGTCCATAATAAAACAAATTATTAAACACTATATCTAAGGGAGAAAAATCCAAAATTAAAAAAAGTTTTCTGTCTGGCTATATGGGATATCTTTAAAGCCACTTCAGAGAATGATTATTAATAAAAAATTATAACTATACAAACCTGCTTATTTTATTAGGAATTTAAAATATGTAACATTCAAGGAGAGAAAAATTAGAAGTGATTATGCAAAAATATTTTTAAAGTGAATACTTACCCAAAATATGCTTGCAAACTGCAAATGGTGACTTCGATTTCCTAAATGATAAGAATATGTGCTCTGCATGCTGGCGTTGTTCATTGTTGACCATGGAAGGAGGTGCCTTGACATTTAAAGAGAAACAAACAAAAAAAAATAGAGCACATGTGTTCAGTAAGGAAGCTTGAACAACAACAATCCTTTTACTCACAATGAAAAAATACTTTTACTTTGTGGAGTGGGGGGACAACAGGAACACAAATTCTTACCTTTTTTTTTTTTTAGGAACTATTAACATGACACTTCATAATAAATATTTAAAATATAGTTTCAGGAAAAAGGAAGAAATTCCTGGCAAGGTTGGGGTCAGAATCCTTTAAAGTTGCCTACATTTTAGAAAGACAGATACTTATCTAACATGCTTTTTGTATTTTTTTAAACCCAGCTAATTTATTACCTTTTATTCCGAAATATATCATTCCATTTAACTTGACCAAGTTCAAATAATTTCAAAATTCTTCAGCACTGGTGAAACTGAATCCAAAGTTACTTTCCTTTCCTAGTCTGTTCCTGCCTTTATCTATAACTAGTAGCACAGTGCACGAAATTTGTGCACATTAAAGGGGGATTAATTACAGCAGTGGTTCTCAACCTTCCTAATACCATGACCCTTTAATACAGTTCCTCATGTTGTGGTGACCCCCAACCATAAAATTATTTTTGTTGCTACTTCATAACTGTAATTTTGCTACTGTTATGAATCGTAATGTAAATATCTGATATGCAGGATGTATTTTCATTGTTACAAATTGAACATAATTAAAGCATAGTGATTAACCACAAAAACAATATGTAATTATATGTGTTTTCCGATGGTCTTAGGCGACCCCTGTGAAAGGGTCGTTCATCCCCCAAAGGGGTCGCGACCTACAGGTTGAGAACCGCTGAATTAGAGGAAATATTTTACTATTGCTATTTGCCCTTTCTCTATAATAGAAGTGTCAGAGATGAAAGAAAATTAGTAAAATGTATATAAAAATCTTCCTCCTGTCAGAGTCTGGGGCATGCTGCAGGAACCAGAGTCAAGTCCCCGCACACCCATAGCGCCTCAAAATTGTGCAAGACCCAGACCCAGCCGGCCCCACGCTTGTCAAGACCCCCGGGCGGGGGTCACAGCCTCAGGTCCCCCATCACGCCCCGCCGGGCAGGGGGCGCAGCCTAAGGTCCCCGGGCACACACCGGGCGGGGGGTGCAGCCTCAGGTCCCCCAGCCCGGGCCGGGGCACACGCCTTGAGGTCCTCCGTCAAGCCCCGCAGGCAGGGGGTGCGGCCTGAGGTTCCCCGTCAAGCCCCGCTGGGCGGGGGGCACAGCCTCAGGTCCCACGGCCCAGTGCTGGGCGGGGGTCACAGCCTGAGGTCCCCCAGCCTGGCACTGGGGCAAGGGGCGTGGCCTGAGGTCCTCCATCAAGCCCTGCTGGGTGGGGGGCGTGGCCTGAGGTCCCCTGTCAAGCCCCACCAGGCAGAGGGTGCAGCCTCAGGTCCCCTTCCCCAGCCCAGTGCCACACAGCCTCAGGTCCCTGCTGATTGCTCCTTAAGGCCCATTACAAGAACTCAGCCTCCGCTGTGGGCACAGCCATCTTGACCATTATGGTGTGACAGTCAATTTGTATATTCCCTCTTCAATAAGATAATAAAAGCATAATATGCTAATTAGACCAGACATCCTTCTGGACAAAGCCAGGGCTGCGAGGGAAGCCCAGGTCCCGGGTGCCAGAGGAAAGCCGGTGCCAGCAGCCAGGGGAAGGAAGGCCTACTCTTGCACAAATTTCATTCATTGGCATAATTTGCCTTCTAAATGAATGAAACTTTTACATCTTCTCTTCTAAAATAAAAGTAACAAGCTTACTGTGATACTTAAGTTGAGACTAGAGCAGCAGACAGAGGTCTCACTTTAAATTTTTCTTTGTTTTCTTTTTTTTACACAGGGTATGGCTTGAATCAGTTTTATTTTTCTTAACTTTAAATATAGAATCTTTGGAAAGAGATCTTTGAATGTTCTCTAAATATCTTCTGCTTCTTACTAATAGACAGCAAGAATCTCTGGCAGCACTTTGCAGAGCCAATAAATGTAGGTGTGAGTTGGCTTTGGGTGTTCCTGATGGCTTTTCAGTTTGTATGTGTGTACCAGTCTCACATTTGGCCAAAACCTCGGGATTCTCCATCAGCATTCCATCTTACTTCAAGGTACTAGGAGAACCTCCTGTCTCCTAGATGGGAGGATCAACTGCCCTTTCCCCAGTGCCCTCTGCAAGAAGAACTTCTCTGCATGGCACATTTCAGCTCCTCTTCAAGGGATGATTTTCTTTCATCAGAAACCTAGAGTCCACGTATCCCAACCTCTCTTGAAGGCTATATCCAGAGTCACTAGCCCAGAAGAAAGCTTGAGTGACCTATATAATTTCTCTTCTGCCAACCTCCTCCTCTATGGCCTTCCCCACCCCCCACCAGCCAAGGGACAGAAATCCTGAAAAGAACTTCTGGACAGCCCTAGCCGGTTTAGCTCAATGGATAGAGAGTCAGCCTGCAGACCAAAGGGTCACAGGTTCCATTCCAGTCAAGGGCATGTACCTTGGTGACAGGCTCCTCCTAGCCAGTTTAGCTCAGTGGATAGAGCGTTGGCCTTCAGACTGAAGGGACCAGGGTTCGATTCCGGTCAGGGACACATGCCGGGTTATGGGTTCGATCCCCAGTGGGGGGCATGCAGGAGGCGGCAGATCGATTCTCTCTCATCATTGATGTTTCTATCTCCCCCACCCTTATTCTCTGAAATCAATAAAAATATTATTGATTAACCATACACACACACACACACACACACACACACACACACACAGTGAGTGGCCAGATTATTATGACCACCTGATGTTTGTAGGCAAATTAGCTATAATTTCGCACTGAAGTTGCTAGAGGGCCAGACCATTATAAATAGGGAAGCAAGTTGTTTACCACGACAGTAGAAATTATAAATAGGGAAGCAAGTTGGGTAAACAACGCAACTCAGTGATTTTTTTCCTGAAGATATATATATATATATATATATATATATATATATATATACTGAGTGGCCAGATTATTATGACCACCCCATCAGTAATTCGTTGGGCCACCTTTTGCCTTCAATACTGCGGCGATTCTTCTTGGCATTGACTCCACGAGATGTTGAAAGGTGATGTGAGGAACCATGCCTGATGAATAGCACTGTCCAGTTCTGTGAGATTTGATGGTTGTGGAACCAGCTGCCTGATGGCTCTTTTAACTTCGTCCCACAAATGCTCAATTGGATTGAGATCTGGTGATTGTGGGGGCCACTCAAGCAAGGTAAAGTCTCCCTCATGTTCTTGAAGCCACTCCTGCACAATACAAGCACTGTGGCATGGCGCATTGTCTTGTTGGAAGAAGCCATCTCCATTGGGATACACCATCAACATGATAGGATGAACTTGAACAGCAACGATACTTAGGTATGTTGTGCTATTCAGACATTGTTCCACACGAATTAAAGGGCCCAAATCATGCCAGGAAAACATGCCCCAAACCATAACACTGCCCTCACCAGCTTGAAGGGTTGTACTCATGCATATGGGGTGCATGCTTTCATGCTGTTTCCGACAAATTCTCACTCCGCCATCTGCATGATGCAACTGGAAACGTGATTCATAGGACCACATGACTTTTTCCAATGCTCAACTGTCCAATCCTTGTGTTCCTGTGCGAATTGGAGACATTTTATCTTGGTAACTGCAGACTGCAAAGATGTTCGAACAGGCCTTCGGCTTCCATATCCCATACGATGCAGTGTACGGCTAATTTGCCTACAAACGTCAGGTGGTCATAATAATCTGGCCACTTACGTTCAAATATATCCCACGTTCAAAGGCTGTTAAATCGCGTTGTTTACCCATATCTTCAGAAAAAAATCACTTCTACTGATGTGGTAAACAACCTGCTTCCCTATTTATAATGGTCAGGTCCTCTAGCAACTTCAGCACAAAATTATAGCTCATTTGCCTACAAATGTCAGGTGGTCATAATAATCTGGCCACCATATATACATATCTACACTAATAAAAGAAACATGGTAATTGGCGTACGACCGCTACCCTTCCCATTGGCTAATCAGCGTATCCTTATGCAAATTAACTGTCAGCCAAGATGGTGGCCGGCAGCCATGCACTGAAGCGAGCAGGGAGGCTTGCTTGCTCCAGTGACGGCAGACTCCAACGTTCCCCGCCTCACTTGCCGGACTCTCAACTGCAACTCTAAGCAACTATCACTATGTTGCAAATAAGAAGCTAAACAAAACCGGCTGTCAGTCAGCCCCGGACCGCAACATTGTATCCATGTTTTCAGCAGCGAGGCCTCAGAGCTAAAGCTGGCCCAGAATAAAAAAAATAAAAAAAGAAAACAAGGAGCGGTTGGGAGCTTTTAGTCAACTGCCAGCAGGAAAACAGCCCTCAGCCCCTCAGCCAGCCTGGCCAGGCACCCCAGTGGGGACCCCCACCCTGATCCAGGACACCCTTCAGGGCAAACCAGCCGGCCCCCACCCATGCACCAGGCCTCTAGTCTATAAAGTAAAAGGGTAATATGCCTCCCGGCACCGGGATCAACGGAGCAGCGAGGCTCCCGGCACCGGGATCAGCGTGACAGGGGGCAGCGCCCAAACCCCCTGATCAGCCCTGCTCTGTGCCTGATGGGGGGGAGCTCCCCAATCCCCCGATTGCCCTGCGGCTCTCTGTGTGACAGGGTGCGGCGCCCCAACCTCCCGCCTCCACGGGCCCTGCTCTGTGTGTGACAGGGTAGAACCATAACCTCTCCATCGGCCCTGCCCTGAGTGTGACAGTGGCGGTGCCCCAACCCCCTGATCCCCAACCCCCCTGAATCGGCCCTCTGTGGGTAATAGAGGGTGGCGCCCCAACCCCCCTCCACGGGTCTTGCTCTGTGTGTGACAGGGTTGAGCCATAACCTCCCCATTGGCCCTGCCCTGAGTGTGACAGGGTGCGGTGCTCCAACCCCCTGATCTGCCCTGCTCTGTGTGTGACAGGGAGGAGCTCCTCAACCCCCTGAT